TTTTAAGAATATTGCAAACCTTTGGAGCAGGGGAAGGAATTGAAGGAATAATGAGAAATTCTGATATTAATCTCAGCTCCTCTGAACCTGCCTAATCTAACTTCTTGAAAGGTCTAAGATCCACAGGCCATCAGTGCAGGGAGAGACACACAGGATCCACATGCCAACCTTCATGCAAGGAGAGAAAAATCAATGTGTAGTGGGTTGAATAGTGGTCACCAAAAGATATGTCCAAGTCCTAATCCCTCGTAGCTGTGCAGGTGACCTTATTTGGAAACAGGGTTTTGCAGATATAATCAAGGATCTTGAGATGAGATGAGGCTACATTTAAGGTGGGACCTAAATAGAGTGACATGTGTCCCTATAAGAGACAAATTTGAGATACAGAGTCATAGAGAAGAATGCCATGTCAAGATGGAGGCAGAGATTGGAGTGATGCATTTATAAACCAAGGAACACCACAGATGACCAGCAATCACCAGAAGCTAGGAAAGAGGCATGGAGAGCACACTCCTGCAAAAGCCGTCAGAAGGTACCAACACTTCCCTTGATTTTAGACTGCTGGCTTCCAGAACTGGGAGAGAATACATTTCTGTTGTTTTAAGTGACCCAGTATGTGTTAATTTTCTCTACAACTACAAGAAACTAACACACAAAGGTACAACAGGAGTGGACCAAAAGGCTGAATGACTCCATTCTGGCATTGCAGTACCCTAGTCATCCACGGCAGCATCGTTAGTTGTTCCAGAGCTCTAGGACAGTGCTTCTCAATCTTTTGAAAACTAAGTCATCTTGATAAACAGAAGAATCTCAGTGGCAGAGTTCCATCCAGGCCCTCCACCAAAAACAAAAAAAGCAAAAACTTGAAAACCAGTGCCCTGGAAGAAAGTTGAGTTGATACAGGAAGTATGTCAGCCCTCCCAGCTGAGTCTACCCCCGTTCTTCCTGTGTATGCACATGAGTGAGGGGTTGGGGAGGGGCTGCCAATCTGTTTTCCATTTTAAAACTAGGGTTCATGCTAGAGATCAAAATCTGGTCTTGCTGGAGAAGAAAAATAAGAAAAATATGTTCCCTTGACTACATTCCGAAACATCATAAGTAGTAGACATCAAACATGCCCCTGGCACTTCTTAAAAAGTCAGAATGCCTCAACCTGATTATTCCTCAAGATTTTATTAATTTATAAAATTGTGTTCCATCATGATCATCACTTTTTATTATCTTGCTGCTCTGAATTGTATCTCCCTTATTATTCTCAGCTACAGGGGCCATAAATTAAAATTATTCAGAATTTATACTCTTACAGTTCATTTTCTATGATTGGTATTATCTCACTGCCTTTTTCTGGCCCTTCTATATCCCCTGGCAAGAAATATTGCAGTAGAGTCTAAATACCATCCAACCAATAAATGTTGAGTTTAAAAAAAAAACTCTAGTGACTACACTAGCCTAAAGGGCACCCATCACTCCTTCTATCTCCACCACCAGCATCTCTTCTGCCAACATGACAGAGGAAGTGAGATTCTAAAGATTTTGGAGTTAGGCCTGGGATGTAGGTCCTTGCTTTGCTACTCTGCAGATTGGGCACATCTTTTTTCTCTCCCTTCACCTTCACCTCTTTCCCTGAAGGTCAGCGGACATTAAGATACATCAGCCTGCTTCATGAGGAGCAACTCTACTTCAGGGAGCAGGTAGTAATGTGATCAGTTGACTCAAGAAGCAATGACTGGCCCATTATTGGAAGTTCTGAACACCTCTCAGTAACATTCCAGAAGTGTCCTTACAAAGGCTGGGAGGCCAATCCCTTGTTTCTAAGACTGATCAAGGTTGTGTGAGTATAGATCCCTCCATCAGTCCCCAGGAAAAATGAACACAAGTTTCCAACAGTGGTGAGATGCCCCTGAGTTATGTGTGGATGTGTCTGTTCACTAAAGAACTTGATAAAGTGGACAGGCGTATCCACAGGGGCTTCTGCCATGGTTGTTCACATCACCGTCCTTAGTATTGTGACACACTACCACGTTGGAAAGAGCAACAATTTTTCAGAGAGATGGAAGTTGACAACACTTACTAAAAAATGGATATTCCAATCCTGACTGATTCATCTAATGGAAAAAGGTTCACATTCAGTGCATGTCCTGGCCCTGGGGACCTAGCTTTTTAAAAACATAAAGGCATCGATACATTTCCACACTCAGGAACACTGAGACGTGAGCATTTATTTCTTCCTCTCCTCCTCTCCTTCTTCCTTTTTTTCCTCACAGTTCTCAGTGTGACGTGCAGATGCCAGAGATCACAAGACAGAGGATGGAGGAGGTGAAACAGGTCAGAGAGTGGCAACGCACAATCTATTGGCACTGTTTTAAAAAATGTTTAAAAATTTAAAAAGCACTGATTTTAAAAGTTATAAAGTCTGACTCCACAAAGTCTGTGGACAATTGCCTCTTGTCCCTCTCTCCTGATCTCACTGAACTGCGATCATAATTCAATAGCTATGAAATAAAAAAAATCTACAATGACCAAAAATGCATGGACTGCCAGGACTGTTTCTAGAGGTTGAGAATTGGGATGCAGAGATATCCCTGGGGGTCGTTGAATGGGAGTAAGTCTGAAAAGGGGTCCACATTAATAGTATAACAAACCTAACCATGCTTCAGAATCACCTGAGAAACTTATAAAAACATACAATAAAATAGAGTCCCATGGAAACTGAAGCTGCAATGAGATACTGTATTTCATCCACCAGATGGACAAAAATGAGAAAGTCTGAAGACCAGGTACTAGTGAGGGTGGATGTACAGTCCTGGGGAGGAATACTAATACATCACTAGAGGGAGTATACCTTGGTGCCACCACTTCAGAAAATAGATTGGCATTACCTATTGAAATGGAAACTGCACCCCAGGACCCAGCAATTCCACTCCCAGTTCTCTGCTCTAGGGAAACTCGTGGACGTGCACACACATCAAGAGGCATGTACAGAAATGCTTACAGTAGTGTTGTTGGGAATAGCAAAAACCTGGAAACAACCCAAATGTCCAATGACAGTAGAAGAGATAAATTGTGGTATTTTAATGCAGTGGATTCAAAACCAAATGAACCACAGCTACATGCATCAAAATGGACAAATCACAACATGACAGTATTATTCTATTTATATAAAGGTTGCAAACATAATCAACGTGTTGTTTGGGGCTACATGCATAAATGGTAAGGCCATAAAGAAAAGCAAATGACTGATTAACACAAAATGCAGGACAGTGGTTATCTCTGAGGGGCGGGAAAGACTTTGATCTAGGTGGAGGACAGAAGAAGTTGTAAAGGGACTGACAATAGTCAAATTCTTTTACTTGGTGGTGAGAACACGTGTTGATTTTATTGTAATCTTTAATCCATGTATATATGTTATGTCTACTTTCTTGCACATGCTAGATTTTATAATAAAATTTAAAAATGTACAGATTTCTAGGCTCCATCTCAGATCTATTAAATCAAGATCTCAGGCTCTGGGGCCTAGGCAGTATTTTTTATAAGTTCTTCAGAAGATTTGGATGCACTATCGGGTTAAGAACCACTTACCTACACACACACACCACAAGACACACCACAAGACACATCAGTAACCAGGTGAAAGCAGCTTAAAATATAAATTAAGGTCAAGCAATTTCAAGACAGTCATAAAAACAGAAAAGGTCAGCCTGGGAGAGTTGTAGAAGGGAAAGGTGTCTCACAGTTCAGGCTTCAAGGCTGACGTAGAAGCCTGAGAGCATGAGTTATTTTTGTGCCACCTCCAACCTCCCCCGTGACCTTACCTGAGTCCCGTCCCTGGTAGATTCCCAATAGTATGAGCCTGAGATAATCGCCCCCAAGAACTGAGTCCAGGGCAGGCTCTCATCATAGCTTTTGCTACAAAGACAGAAACACGATGTGGTAGACAGTGTTCCTATCTAGGACTCATCACAGCAGACATCTAGACCTGGACCCACATGTACAAGCTGTGTGATCTTTAGCAAGTCACTTCCCCTCTCTGAGCCCTAGCTTTCTCATCTGCCCTGCCTCCTTCACAAAACCGGATTCCAATGAGACAGTGTAGGTGGAAGGGCTTTGTAAACTGAAAGTACTGCTTCGAATGTCCAATAAGTCCATTACCAAGTCAGTTATTATTTCTTCCTAAAAGCCAGAAACATAGGCTGTCAATTCTGGGTCAGCAGAGTTTTCTGGGTCCAAGGAACTGGGAGCTCCAAGATTTACCTTAGAGAGACCCGGAGGCAGGACAGAGCTTAGTGCCTCCGCATCTCTCTCTTGAAAACTCAGCAAATATTTAACAAGCATCCACAGCTTATCCAGAACCCACCTTTTCCAGTCCTTGATAATTCAGAAGATGTTCGTAAATAGCTCAGGACTACTGGAAGCACCTTGCAAAGCTAAATATGCAGCCTGAACTTTCATTAATGGCTTTGAAACTGACATTTAACCCAGTTATACAATACCTTCCAAGTTAAGATTGCCAGATTTAGCAAATAAAAATGCAGGACACTCAGTTACATTTGAATTTTCTAGTAAACTTGGAATAATTTTTAAGCATAAGTATGTCCCAACTATCGCATGAGACATATTTATACTAAAACATCATTTGTTGTTCACCTGAAGCTCAAATTTAACTGGATGTCCTGTATTTCATACGGCAACCCTATTTCAAATGAGCAAACAGATTAGCACTTTCTCCTGCATCTTACATTGGGAAATCTGCAGGAAAGAGAGTTATAAAATTCTATTCACTTGGTAAGAAAGTAATGAGTTGGATTGATCTTGAAATTGGACTTGCATTCTCCCTTCCTTGTACAGCCCAAGAAGACATGCAGAGGCATGGATATTAAAAACAGGTTTTAAGGAAACAGGATAGAGCAGGGCTGGGGAAGACTCAAAATTTCAAACAGAAATAGACATCCCAGCCCTGTCCCGACCCACGCGGGACACTTTGCAGTGGCCTCTACCCTTACCTCTGGGCATCTCCTTGGAATGCTCTGCCTCGGGTCCGTCCAACAGGTCCATCTGGGAGGCCTCCTCAGAGGGGACGCGGCGCCAGGACCAGCTCTGGTTCCCGAGGTCATGCAATGGAGGAGAATACTCCAGCTCACAGGGGAAGTCAAAGCTGCACTCCAGACCTGCAACGATAGCCAAAGGTCAGCGGGGCAAGCTGTCTCCCAAACATGACCTTCCAGCCCCATCCCTCCACTACAGGAAGTTACCCTTCATCTCACCCACAACCTTCACCCTATCCAGGGGTAGTGAGTTGCCAATTCCACAGGTGGCTAGGCTCCATATTGGTGAAAAGGGGACTAAGAGAGAAAAAGTGTCCTTCATATAATTCAGATTATGGGAGGTGTCCTCAGAGAAGGCAGGTGAAAAAAAAAGAGCTAACAGGTTGGACCATGAGAAGCTCTGTATCCTGTGAGGTTACCTGGTGACATGGAGAGGGCCTGAAGTCAAGTGGGCAGCCTGGCTTTGCAACCAGATAGGTCTGAATCTAAGTCTGGCTCTGCCACTTACCAGCTGGGTGACTCCAGGCAAGAGAATTAACCTTTCTGGCCTCAAATTTCCTCACCTGTATGTTGGGGATGATAATATCTACCTGTGGAGTTTGCTGTTAAGAACTAATTGGATAATTCATTGTCTATACATGAGCTTGGGCCAAGTGGATGCTCAGGAAAAATCCTAGTCAGGTCCTGTCCTGTCTGAGAAGAGACAGGCCAAAGGGAACACAAGTCTTACTCACAGCCCTGTTTGCCAGCCCTATCAGCTACCCTACAACCCCCTCCGGAGAAGAGGGCCTAGGCTATGACAGCTAATCCGGGCTTATTCTCTCTTGGGAAGGGAATGGGGAAGGTCACTGGGTAAAGAGAGAGAGACCAGGGGGGCAGAAAGAGGCCATGCCCTGGTACTTTTTATGATTTATTGGGGAGCTTTTTTGGGGGGAATTATCCTTGTGTCCAAATCATTCCATGCCTGCCCTACTTTTAGGATAACTCACCTTCTCTTTTCCCTTCCTTACTCATTGTATATTACCCAAAGTGGCCGAAGTACTTTGTATGTGGTAAGCTCTCAATGTTTGCTGATGGATCAACAGGATATGTGCCAAAATGCAAATTATTCAGCCACCTTTTTCTTCATGGTCTCCCCTCAGCCATGTGGATGCAAAGAAAGAGAGAATGTGATATAAAGGACGGACCATTGAACTGGGAATATGGGGAATTTGGTCTGTGTCCAGGTTGGGCCAGTTGCCTCTCGTGTGTTGATTTTGGTGCCCTCATCTGCAAAGCAAAGGGTTTAGATTAGATGATTCTAGAAACAAGCACTCAGCAAAACCTGGGTTCCAGCTCCAGCTCTGCCACTAATTTGTTGGTTACCTTGGACAAGCCGCTTAACCTCTCTGGGCCTCAAGTTCCTCAAACACAAAATGAGACCCAGATCAGGTATTTTCTAAAGTTCTTTCTTGATTGGACTTTTTTAAGATTTCAAAGTCCTTGCTCTTAGAGGGGTTACAGCTAATTTGATAAATCAATCCGTGCAGTGGTGCTAATGGGTGCTAACTCCCAATTAATGTTGTGTATTTTAACAGCTGCTTCTAGGGCCACTGCTACCTTGATTTCCAAGACAAGTCTGGTGTTGGGAATTTCAGAATGCAGAGAAGTGGGGCTGATTCTAGCGCAGGCAGTAGGTCACTGGATTGTCCTTTAATCACACCCATACGCAGCTGGCCCTGCCCCAGAGTGAGAGTAAAATAATTCCCATTGACACTAGCCAAACTATCTGAGTTTAGGGAGGAATAAAAAAATCCTTCAATTACACCTCTATTAAGTATCTTTCTGCTTCCCGGCCAGCAGAGATTTATGTACCAGCTGCTCTCCAGGAGCTGCCATCCTTCTGGTCCTAGGGTTAATACCACTCGCCCTTTCATGATTCAGACAATTCACCTTTATAATGGCAAGCAGAAACGGGCAGAGCTAGCCTAGTTTGAGTTGACATGCCACTCGCTGCCTACATATTTTATCAGCCTTGGAGACTTTCTACCTGCCTCTGGGGGCTGACCTGCTGCTGTAAGTTGGTGTCCGTGAATTGTAGTCTGCCTTAATGTTCAAGACTTGCTTACCAGGCAGTTGGTATTGATAGCAGAATGCCAGTAAAACTGATCCAACATTTTGTTCTTTGCAGCACAAAAATTATCCTTATAAGGAAAGGTGTAGCCATTAAACCTTGCTCCTCTGGGGATGGTCATAAAGATCCATCTATATTAGTGAATGACCAAGTCAGAAGATGGAAGAGAAAGCTAACAGCCACACTCAGCCCACATCGACAACTACTGGTGCCTTTCCCAAAGCTTCAACCTCTGCTGCCCATCTCTATCTTGACTTTTCACCTCCAATTAAAGTCATCCTATTTTCATTTGGGACAGAGGTGCGGTATGCCAGCTCGGACACTGCCTGTGCGCATATTAGACAGACAACAGAATATACAGTCCCAACGTGGACCATCATCAGTCCTGGGATCTTTGAACTCTGGAGAGTCTGATAATCAGCTGTCTCGGGGCCAGAGCATGCCTAGTGAAACAGGCTAGGCACATACTCCTATTACCAAATAGGTTCATTTCAAAATTCCTGCTCCGGGGTAGCCTCCCTTTAGCTGTCAAAGCTGTACTCTTTGGCTTTAAGTAGGAACAGAGTTAACATTACTGCTCATTTTGGATGAAATTGAATTGTGCTTTTCTACATTCTGATTTAATTTCTTATAAAACATTGAGACAAGTTTCTGTCTCCCAAGCTAGCCTCAGTGCCTTTAGAGTAATAATATCTGGGACTCATCTTCTTTAAGAACACCACATTAAGTCTCATTTTCCTTAGGCCATTTCTGAGTTTCTAGACCTAGGGTACTTCTTGAATCTCTCTCTCTTTAACCCTCCTCTGACTCAATCCCTGGGCAGTAGGGACTGAAGAGTCTATTTTATAGACAGGACACAGAGGGATCAAGGGCTTTAATGAAGTGTTCAGCCTTAAGCAACCCAATGGCTGAGAAGGTCCCCGCCAAAGGGAAGGGGTGGGAAATAACATTCACTGACCCCCTGCTGTCTGCCAGGAACTGCGCTAGGTGATTTTCTTACATCACTATATGTAATCTGTGGAACAACATTGAGAAGTGGATAATGTCTTCTCTCTACAGACGAGGAAACTGAGGCTTAGGAATTTTACTCTACTTGCCCAAAGATCAAGGACTACCCTGAGGCAGACCCAGAATGTAAACCAGGACTGGATAATGATGAAGACTCAGGCGTTTTTCATCACACCTCCACAGCTTCAGAATCTTAATCCAGGGCCGACAGATTAAATTAAATAATATATGAGAAACCTATGAAGTGTTATATTTTGGTTATCATTAGACCCAAAGTCTGCAACCTTTTCATATCTGCCAAGGCTTCCCCAATACCCTAATATGACAGATCCATAATTCCTTTGTCAGGCCCATTTTGCAAAGTAACTGTGACCTTTGGAAGAATCCAGAGATCTCAACTTTACTTTATGTACCTGTTAGGGCCTGGGAGAATCTAACCATTGAAAAACAGCAATGAGAAAAAGACAAACTTTTCAGAGCCTGCTGATCACGTAGCTGAAATCACTTGCTACCCACTTTTTAGTCACTTCCATCATGGAAGAACGATAAAGTAATGGAAATGGAATCTTCTTCTGGAAACAGTTCACCTACTAAGAGGAGTGTCAAGTGCTGTGAAGGAAGAGTTCTTGGCAGAGCAGTGAGGATGGTTCCAGGCTCAGTTCTGCACATAACAGCTGAGGGATCTCAGCAGGTCCATTCTCCTCTCTATGCCTGATGTTTTGCATTTGAAAACTGAAAGAAATGAAGCACATGCTCTCTATGGTGCCCTCCATCTCTGAAGGTCAGTGATTCTATAGGGCTCATCCTGGGCCAACACAATCGTATCTATAGACCATCAGTCACTTTCACACTGCCTGCCTCTAAACAAGGGCTTGTTGCCACACCTAGAAGTAGATTCCCATGGAAGGAGGCTGAACACACACTACCCTCAATGGGGACTCAGGTTTCTCAAAGAATTAAGAAGGAAAACTCAGGCAAGTTTTATAGATGACTGTTCCTGGGTGAGTGAGTGAGTGTGAGTGTGTGTGTGTGCGTGTGTGTGTGTTTTCATGCATTTTTATCAGTTTGTACCTATATTCTGAAACCTTTCAGGGTATGAGTCACATTTCAAAAACTGAATTCATTAACAATTAGCTTCAAGACATTGTTCTAGTATAAAATGCAGCCATTCAGATGAGTGTTACAGTAACTGACCAGAAAAGCCCTGTGGTAGCCCTGCCCAGAGAGATGCCCAGGCCCCTTATCAAACTCCCTTGGCTGTAAAGGAATTGGCAATGACCACCCATCTTGACACTGAATCTGAGGGTGGAACCTAGCCTTTAGGAATGTGCAAGATTACTAAAACAGCCATGCCCAAGTCCTGTGCCTAGGAAACTAGCATTGGCTGTTCGGGCAGAGATGGAGGACCTCTCACTAATTTCCTCAGTCACCTTGAGTCAAATTTGGGTCAGGGGACCAGCAACCTCTTTCAGTTTTTAAGACACCCGCTCCAGGGCTAGCTGGTTTCCAGGTGACCACAGGGTGGCAGAGGCCTTAAAGAACAGCCACCCTGGGTCAGGTCCACAGGAGCCCGCTGGTTGATGTCACTCAGTCTCTGCCCACTATGAGGTTTGGAAACAAATATTACAGGTGAAAAGCAGAGTCATAAAAAAAGAGAAGAACGCCATGATTATCAATCCCATACTACTTCACCCTTCTTCATTTTGACTCTTATTATGAGTGTTTTGGAAGTCAAGCTTGGGGTCTCACTTACATTCTTGACTCTGGCAGCACTGGGTACGTGTTTATAGAAGGCTGCATGCCCCAAGGGGAGGACTCCATGAAGACCTCGGGAAGTCTTTTCATAATTGGTGTTTAATGAGGGCTTACTGTGGTCAGACACTGTGCTGGGCACCTTCCATAATTATCTTATTGAATTCCTATGAAGTAGGAAGGATTATCCTCATTTAACAGATGAAGACACTGGGGTTTAGAGGAGTGAAGTCACAACTGAGTTACTCAG